TCAGTCACAACACTGTCACCACTACTAACACATAGTGAAACACTATCTTAATTAACCCACCCAATTCGAACAAGCCCAGCTCAATCAAATAAAACCCTAAAAAATAAAATCCAAAATCACAAATAAGTGGAAGCAAAGGATGGAAAGTTTGGGATATATGTTTGTATGCGCGTCTTTGTACAGTGTAGGTGGGTTGAGATTGTTTGACTCAAAAAGCTTTAGAAGGTAGCAGTTAGTATCTTCCAAACGAAGGACAAGTTTTGTCTTTCTTGATCCACTCTTCTAGTGATAACAGTAGCACAAGGTAGCAAATTTGGAGTGTATAAGCTTCTTGGTTTTGTTTGTTGAGAAATTTTTGGTGTGTTTAGTGGCTTGGGGGCCAGGAATGGAGCTACAGTGGAAGCATGGGGGCACCTGCCTCCACTACAATTAGTTGCATACAAGGGTTCAAAATGCCAAGTGACGAAACACATGGGGATTGTTTGGATGGATTTTTTGGGAGGGTTTGAATTGGTTTATCTAAACTCTTTCAAATCTAAACCCTTCTTTATAAATATGAGATTCAACATTGAATCTGGCCTATACTTATGTTTGCTATGTAATACATGCACATGTAATATCCACAGATATATTATAATTATTAACAACTATTTGTCTTGTAAATAATTATTTTACTCTTGATCAATCCAATTCATTATTCATATACATGTTAAGGGGTAAAATTATCTTTTGCATCCTTAACTCCTTAACTCATTTTCCCAAACTCATCGCCCCTTGAGTTTGACAAAACTTATGATCATGAGTTTAATATTCGAGCTAACTGCAAGCTGAATTTAGGAACTTAGAATTGAATTTTCAATCAAAACATGGAGTTTGAGGGTCTTTTGGACTATTTTTCTGAAACCCATCTAGCCAAACCTCCCATACCCTTTTACCAAAGATTCCCTTGGGGGTTTGTCTCTTTTTGTTAGGGTGCCAATGGTGATCCACTAGGATTTTTTTCTGTGTGGCGCAGTGGCAGTGGCAGTGGCAGTGGCAGTGGCAGTGGCAGTGACAGTGACAGTGACTATTAGCTAGGTAAATTTCTGCATTTTTATGCATGTGACAGTGATTGTCGTGATCAACTAAGCGTCATTCTTGACCTATGATATTTATTGAAGTTATGCTACAGCAATAACATCTACTTGACAAGAAAGTAGTGGACATATTTGGGAAATAGTGCCCCTACCACTTTGGTAACTTGTGTGATAATCAAATCCTTTTGCTGCATAAGTATTGATGTTATTACAAATGAGTTTTGTGAGTTTAACCCAATTTTTAAAAAGAAGTTAATTTTTTTATTAGGAGTTTTAAACAAAAAGATGAAAAGGCGGAAGCCTTAAAGACCTCAAGGTCTTAAAGGTAACCCTTCCATTTTTACCAGATAGTTTGACTTTAGGGCATCTCCAACCCCTTACTCAAATTTAAATTTGAGTAAAAAAGTCTAAAAATCTTGTTCCAACCCTTGACTCAAACTTATACCAAATTAAGGGAAACTCATTTTTGTACTCAAATTAAGGGAGACTCAAATCTTTAAATGTGAGATTTTTCTATCTTTTAAAGATCCAATGGTCATCTTTACTCCCTTTTAAATTTGAGTTTGCCCTCATTTAAATTTGGGTCTCTCTTTCTTTAAATTTGGGTTTGTGCGTTGAAGTCCTTTATATCAAATCCAGCTTTTTACTCAAATACTAATTTAAATTTTTACTCAAATTTAAATTAACATTTGAGTAAAAAGCTTGATTTGATATAAAGGACTCCAATGTTCAAAATTATGCTCATTTCTTCTCAAAATAAGACTTTGTTTTAAGTAGTAAAACACTTAAGTATCATTCTAAGAACATATTTTACTTGATGGGTTTCTTCATTATTCTAGTAGAAAAAACATGATGACAACTGAGTTAACAAATTGAACTTGTATACACACCCACACTATAAATATTTTGAAGATGTTTGGTGCTTTCATGTAATTGTGATGTCGTTGAAATAACAACTCACTTTGGTGGATTGGCTATTTTCTTTCTTGAGACTAGAGAAAATTAGTCATTTATTGTGTTGGAAACTTGTATGATTTTTAGTTTTTGATGTTTATGCTGACTTTATTCAAATATTATTAGAATCGTTTCTAGATGATGCTATCTAAATAAATAATTACTCGTGTTGTGTGGATTCAATTATTCGCATGTGTACACTTGATGAGCCTAGATTCAACTGGGTCAAGCCCAATTAATGAGATAAGTCCAAATTATCTATAAAGTAGGTCAGACCCAACTAGTGGATTTTAGCACAGTCCAAAGTCCAAGGAGTCCAGAAGAATTATTGTACGTGGAGAGTAATTGTCGGAATAGTCACTCCCTTAGATGAAGACTATCTCTAATTGTACCTATCCTAGTTGTACTTATCCTCCCCGAAGGATTAGACACCTGCCCATCACTTCACCGCCTTAACTAAGGTTTTATACTTATAAATTGTAAGATCTTTCCACATAAGGGGGGCATATCTCTCTACACACCCCTACACAAGCTATCTCTCTCATAGTTACCCAACATCTTCAAGAGTTTACCTTCGCTCTCTTCTCCACCATCTTCTTTATTAATAAAGATCTCCGGCCACCGTAGCTGCCTTTGAAGTGAAGTAGGTCACCTTGACCGAACTACTATGCATCTGTGTGTTGACCCAATATCTGTCTCCTTCATTAATTGTCTTATTGATTGTTTCATTAATTATTTTACATCACATAATTGACTGTTGATTATGTAGAAACCTATTTTGTATATCATCAATTTGGCGGCATCTGTAAAAAAAAACTGAGTTTTCTACCACCTTGCTACTTTCTCTCAAATCACTGGCAATCACAACCAGATCGATATACCAACAATCCAAAGACAACGACCTAGCTCGTTGGGAGGAGGCCTCGCCTCCACCTCCACCTCCACCAGCGGGACCATCCACTGCGATGAATCCTATGGTCGGACAACAGTTGCTGGAGATTGTGCAGTTGCTGGTGAGTCAAAATAAATAAATTCTCCAACTGATACTCACCTCAAGAGGTGTCGTCCCTTAACTAGCAGGAGGAGTCGCTCCTCAACTACCCCCTACTTTCAAAATTCAAGATACCTGTCATTGAGATCTTTGATGGCATTAAGGACCCACTGGATCACCTTGACACCTACAAGTCTTTCATGCAACTCCACAATGTGCCTGATGAGATCATGTGCAGAGCTTTCCCTACAACCCTCAAGGGATCCGCACGCCAGTGGTTCGCCAAGGTCAAGCCTTCTTCCATCCACTCCTTTGCGAAATTAAGCAAGTTTTTCATCTCCCACTTCATTGGCCGACGTCGACATCAGAAGCCAGTTATCCACCTGCTCACTATTAAGCAAGATCGAGTTGAAAGTCTGAGTTACCTTGCTTGTTTTAATGAGGAGGCTCTCCAGATCAAGGAGTCAAATGACAAAGTGATCATGACCACCTTTATTATAGGTCTGCTCTTGTCGAGCTTTATGTTTTTTGTTTTGAAAAAACCACCGACAAGCATGTCCGAGCTGTTATCTAGGACACAAAAATATATGAACGCTGAGGATATCACCAAGGCCAGGCGAGGTGAGTCCCCCTGTGGTAGCGAGAAAAGAAATGACACTCGTGATGATAGAAGAGAAGTAAAAAGTAAGAGAAATAGGATGGAAAAAGTGCCCGTCAAGGACCACCTCGGTACCGCATCCTTTAGAGAGCAACAAGCCTTTACGCTGCTCAATTCAATTGTTGAACATATCTTCCTCCAAATCCAAGATGATCCTACGCTACGTTGGCCAAGAAAAATGAAGTCCGACCCGAATCATAGAAACCCAAGCTAGTACTGTCGTTTCCACCGCGACCATGGTTATAACACTAATGACTGCTTTGATCTCAAAAAGCAGATCAAGGAATTGATACAGTGTGGACAGTTGCAGCAGTACGTTGCTGGCGGAGGACAAGCCCCACTGCCCGACAGGAATCAAGATGACAGAGACTGCCAGCAACCCCTTAGAGAAATCCATATGATCTGTAGAGGGTTTGGATGAGGAGGTGACTCCAACTCAGCTAGGAAGGCGCATGCTAGGAGAGCCAGACAAATTGAGTCAAATAATCCTCACCCGATGAAGACACCTCGGCACGGAAAAAAGGAGGTCATCTTATTCTCAGACAAGGACCTCGAGGGGATTCAACAACCCCATGATGACCCTCTAGTATTAACCCTGATGGTAGCCAACTACCAAATCAAGAGAATTCTGGTGCACAGTGCCAACTCTATCGACATCCTATTTTGCATCAGCCTATGTTAGCCTTCATCTTGGTAGGGAAAGGTTGCAACCTATTAGGACGCCCCTCATTGGATTTTTGGGTAAGAGGACTTATCCTTTGGATTCCATCACCCTGCCAATCACAGCAAGTACAACAACAAGAAACTCCACCATCATGGTAAACTTTATAGTGCTAGAATGCCCCTTTGCCTACAACATCATACTTGGACGTCTTGCACTCAATACCTTAAAAGCAGTGTCATCCACCTATCACTTTGTTATTCGTTTCCCAATCCTTTATGGGATCGGAGAAGTTAGAGGAGACCAAGCTACCGCTAGTGGTCTTTATAAGGATCAAGAAACCCCAAGAGGCCCTCTAGGTGGAAGTGTTTGGTATGACAGCACGCTGAAAAATGGAAAAGCCTTAGCCTACCTATGGGACGCCGAACACTTGAAGAGGCATTATCAATAGCAAGGCACAAGTCAGTGAGTGTATAATTCAGTAACTACCATTTAAATTATCTTTTCTTGCTTTAGACAATTGTTTTTTGTTATCTACTTCAAAATATGAAATAAAGCTTTGCAAGATTATCTTTTTCAAAAAACTCTCTCTCATAAACAATTTACAAAAGATAGAACATGACCTAACAATAAAAAGATAAAAGTTCCATTCTCCTGACATTACTCATTGCTCCCCAATCTACTCTCATCAAGGCTCTCTCTATCACCATCCGTCCCTGGGGCGTCATATGGGACGAAGCCAGAGAAATTAATAGTAGGGAAAGTTTGCTGAGGTTTTCCCCCTAAGATCCTCATGGCATCGCCTAGTTCGCTTCTATTCCAACCCATTCCAGTAGTAGCAGCTTCAGCACTATAGGCACCGCCCATATGCCCAATGGCGCCGCTGTCCAGGCCTGCTACAGTGACATTGATGGCGTTGCCATCCATAGTTTTTCCCTCTTCACCCAGGACTCTAATACCACCGGCCGCTGAAATGGCCTCGCCTAGCCTTCTACCTACAAACTGCCCACCACTTGTACACAGACCAAAATCAGCGATGCCAACAATGCCTGAGCCCACGCCGATGCCAAAACTACCCATCCCACATACGATGTCATCACTTACCCTAACGCCCGAATTTGCCGCAATCTCGCCGCTTGGACCAGGGTCTTCCACTACTGATTTGACGATGGAGCCGCCGGGCATCACCCATGGTCTCATGGGGTCTCTTGGGCCAGTCTCTCCCAAAAACCCAGCAACCACCTACCTCTCATAGCGGTCTGCGAGTCCCCTTTTCGTCATTCTCCCATGAACTTCCATGATTTTTTCCACAAGCTCTCTCGATGGGTTTTTGGAATGAATAAGATTTGACACAGCAATTGGGTCAGGACTATATGTATTGACCCCTTAAAACCTCAAGTTTTAAATTCAAAAATAAAATGGGGATTTTCTTGTGAAAAATTAGAGATTCTATCAGAACATTGAACGACCCAATGGAGAAAGATGAGTGGTTGGTTACCCGGTATGGGTGGAGGTTTGTAAGAAAAATCGAAGACTATCGTGGGGAGCAAGAAACCCTTAGCTATCCAAAGGCTCACTCATGCCCTCAACCCCCTTTGTTACAAATAGGGTTTGGGGCATGAAAGGCAAATAATGAGCCCAGATTCAACTAGGTCAAGCCCAATTAATGAGATAAGATCAAATTATCTACAAAGTAGGTCAGGCCCAGCTAGTGAAATTTATCCCAGTCCAAATTACAACGAGTCTAGAAGAATTATTGCACGTGTAGAGTAATTACCAGAATAGTCATTGTCGTATATGAAGACTATCTCTAATTGTACTTATCCTAGTTGTACTTATCCTCCCTGAAGAATTAAACACCTACTCATCACATCACCGCCTCAATTAAGACTCTATGTCTATAAATTGTAAACCCTCTTCACATAAAGGGGGGCATTTTTCTCTACACACCCCTATGCAAGCTACTATCTCATAGCTACCCAACCTCTTTGAGAGCTTACCCTTGCTCTCTTCTCCACCATCTACTTTATTAATAAAGATCTCTGGCCACCATAACCGCCTTCAAAGTGGAGTAGGTCACCTTGACCGAACCAGTAAACATCTATGTGTTCACTAAATCTCTGTCTCCTTCATTAATTGTCTTATTGATTGTTTCATTAATTATGCGGCATCATACAATCGACTGTTGATTGTGCATAAGCCTATGTTGTGCATCATCAATAGTATTTAGTTGTAGCGTAGTTGATTTAAGTTGTGTTTCTTTAAATAAAAGTTTGATGCTTTGATTAAATAAGTTGTGCACACAAGTTGATATTTTTCAGGGTCATTATTTTAGAGGAAATTTTGGAAATTTTCAAAAATAATTGTGAGCTCATATTGATTAATGATTTTTGTTAATGTTACACAATGCCTTTTGAGCAAATGCAATTGCTTTCAATTTTTTGTCCAATTATATAATGCATTCAAACATTGATAATTACTAGTTCATATAATAATGTAGAGCTTATTTTGAATCTGAAACATCAATGACATTTCCACCATTTTATGATAAACAATAGATTCATCTGATGGACAACGTGATCTCAACTTATCTCAAGGTATTAACGTCTCAAACCATTTTAAAATTATTTATAACGCACCAAATTTACTCTTGCCCAAAAATTTTAATTTTTGAATCCCCTCAATCACGCCTTTTCTTCCAAAGCTCTCTCCCTAATTTCTTTCCTCCTTGTCTCCTCTCTCCATTAACTTTTTGTCCCACTTCTCCCTAATTTTCCATTCCTCTCTTTCTCAATTCCCAAATTGCTCTACCTAATTTTTCACCTCTCTCTTCTCTCTCTACCAACAGTTGTTGTCCATCTCCATAAGCCACTTACTGAAGCCACGCCAATGCACCATTGATGCCACACGCCAACATCAATTTTGTCCCTCTCTAACCTCAATTCCACACGCCACTTCCTGAAGCCACGCAAATGCACTATTGATGCCACACACCAACATCAATTTTGCCCCTTTCTAACTGCGATGCCACAGGCTAAGCATGATTCAAGGACTTGAGTTCATTGGGCTAGACTTGCTAGATTCAATTGGAGGAGTGATTGCAGGGAAAAGGGGTTGGTTCTTCAAGGGGAAAGGATGTTGGAGCTAATATTGCGCTCCATGCAGGTTAGAGTGCAAAAAGGTATTGTTAGCTTTCTAATTAATTCAGATGAACTTTGCAATATTATGGTGTAGTTGGATATGCAATGATCCTTTTAATTTTTTTTTTTCATTATGACCACATATCTCTTAGTGTAATGATTCGTGCACGTTACAATTTCATGTGTGCAATTGAGATATTGACAGTTCAAAGTAGTGGCAAGACAAAACCAAGTTAGCAAAGGTCAGATCAAGAAAAATGACCATTTACTACACATGCTTGGATGATTAGGCCAAGCTTGACTAAGACTTGAATAGCTTAGGCCATGTTAAGATATGCTCAGTTAAATAGGTCGAGCATTATTAAGATTTGAACAGTTTGGTCCAAGTTAAGCAAAGTAATTATCAATCACTCAAAAAATAGGATGGATATATAAATAAGTTGTTAAATTAATGGCGAATGATCATCAATGAATCCTAGAGAACTAGTTGATTAAAAAACGTTAGAGAGATTTCAATAAGATATAACCGAAAGTCCGGCATAATGGGGGTATACCACCTTACCTTCCAAGCATAAGTAACCCTAAAGAAGGAAGGTTGAGGAATCTTATAAAAAGGACTGATGAGGTTCGACAGAGGTATGGACAATTTTTCTTATAGTTTCCATTGTCTCTATCCTTTACTGACTTAAGCATCTGAGTGCTTTTGATCGGTTCACTCCGGTCCTAGGCAATTTATTCATTTTATAGGAAAATTGTTGCAACATACACATAATTCAACCATAGTCAAATCATATTTTAAGAGGTAATCTTTTTGCTACTTACAATTGGCGCCGTTTGTGGGAAGACCTAGAACAAAAAAATAATATCAAGACTGAAGAACATCATCAGATCTCCAGTAAACCGCGACGCTGATCGAGATTTCGATCAAAATTACAAGGTGTCCTTCCCCTTCGATAATGATATATGTGAGGATGCATATAAAGCCTAGACAAGCATCTTGATGATGATAAATTGTTATTGGCAAGTTTCAAGCTGGATGATGATGGTAATCAGGATAATCCACAACGAGATGGATCCCTCCGTCCGTCCCGAGGGGGACACTCTCGCTATTGTGAAACTAATCCAATGCTTACAGGATCGATTAGATACATATAACACTATGTTAAAAAATTGTATTGCAAAAAAAAAAAAAGGCATTCAAACATGAAAGCATTGAAAGAGAAGTTGAGGAAGTCTAGGAAGGAAAATGCCCTTGAAAGAGAAGGAACCCATACCACCAACAGAAGAACTAAGCGGGGTCGTAAGTGTAGTAGTAACACCACATAAAAGAATAGGCAAAGAAAAAGGGAAAATTCCCAAGAGACTAATTATAGGAGAAAGAATCATCGTAGAGAGAACCAAGAGGATGCTTGGAAATGCTTCATTATAGAAGAACTCAATAACAAGTTGAAGCGACCCAAGAAGAAATCCGCTAGGGAATTGGCAAGAAGAGCTACTAGGGAATACATCGATGGACTAGGAATATCTCCCTTTTCCAAGTGGATCGAACGCGAAAGGATACCAAGTAAATTTACCATTCCGAACTTCAAATTGAATGATGGAAAAATGGACCCAACTGCACATATTCAACATTATAGGCAACTAACGACAGTTCACAAGAAGAATGACACCTTATTATGCACCATATTCCCTAGCAGCCTTAGAGAGTCAACGATGAAGTGGTTTGATGGCCAGGCTAGGTATTCAATTGATAGCTGGGGATAGCTCGTCGAATAGTTCACTGCTCAGTTCATAACTAGCAGCCAATAGCCTATGGATGTCGGGGCACTGTTGTCGTTGAAAAAGAAGAATGGGAAAATGCTTCGGTAGTACACACATCACTACTGAGAGATGGTGAATGAGATTGAAGGTTGCAACACCAAGACTATAGTAGAATCTTTCAAAATTGGTCTGCCAAAAGAGAATATATTGTACCAATCATTGGCAAGCCATCCAATGTTGGATATGGTGGAACTCACGGCAAGACTTGAGAAATATGTGAAGGTTGATGACGATCTTAATCGAGAAACGCACCGAGATCAAGTTAGAAAGAGGCTAGTTAGAACAGAAAAGCCAAATGTACAGTCTCGGATTGGAGTGAAGGGGACAGAAAAATAGGGATTCATCTCCAAGTCCTCGTTTACAGGAATGAATACAGTGTTTAAAGAATCGATTTATAGGATCCTATCTCAAATCAAAGGAAAACCATTTTTCAAATTGCCAAACAAGTTAGGAGGAGATCCAACAAAGAGGAATCCAAATTTCAGATTCTCCTATCATTGTGATGTGGGGCACATGACCAAGAGTTGTTGCTCTCTTAAGCAGCACCTTGAGGAACTTGTTCGAGCCAGACACCTTTCCCAGTTCATAGAAAAAGATGAGAAGAAGTTTGATAGGGGAGAAAAAGTTGAAAAACCCCAACAGCGGCCAAGTTTAGCAGTGGTGATGATGTGTAACCCGCCAGAATAACAAGATCCAACAACGAAAAGAACCCAAGATCGTTTTACGATCCACGGAGAATTCCAATAAGTTCGTTTAGTTCTTCAAAGAACCAAAGAAAAGTCACTCTCAAAATTTGTTGAATAATGCTCTCAATTTTCATTGATTTGAATGCCTATTTATAGGCTAGTCATTACAAGGATTAGGAAACTTTCTAAAATAGCTATCCTATTTAAGAAATATCTCTTACTTTCCTAAGACTCTTGAAGAAAAGAAGAAAGACATTCAGCCCTTTAAATGGCTGATCACATGCCTAAATAGAAAAAGGAAAGTATACCTTGGTATATAAACCTCAACCCGCTGTTTGTGAAACAAGAACCTCGGTATAAGGGAAGATGCCACAAATGGTGTGGAAACTCATTTGATAAGTCGTTGGTGAACGCCACGGAGAATTCCGATAAGTTCGTTTAGTTCTTCAAAGAACCGAAGAGAAAACACTCTCAAAATTTGGTAATTGGCCCATCTGGACAAGCCAAAGATCTTTAAGAGTAGGCCCACCTTGGCTCTCATCATTCCCCCTTTCCTCAAAAAGATTCGTCCTCGAACCTTCACCCACATCCTAAGGAGAAAGATCAGAAACATTGACGGTAGCAGGAAAAGAAAAAAAAAATTCATCTCTTA